GGTCGATTTTCCAACTGTCCAACACAATCGACTAGAATGTCAGCATTACATTAATAACGTCTGACTGTTAGATTTAGGAGATAAATGCGTCTGTCCAACTCCCATCAAAGTGTCCAAGCCTTTTTCGATTGCGACTTACCTCATCCATGAGGTGATATGATGCAAGGTTTCCACTAGACGTCCAGTTGTCTGATTGTTTTTCTGTAAATGCTAGCATATCGTGGTCATAGTAGAGCATGTTCTATGCTCAGTTCTTAGTTCAACAATTCAGGGTTGTTTACGCACTGATTTCGATGGCACTGTACTTAAGGAATATTGTTAACTGGCAAGTACTTTGGAGGTTTTGATTATACGCCAAAGGCAATGTTTCGATGATTTTGGCCTTGGAAACTTTGCTAATTTTTAAAAGAAAACTTTTCAGGGCTGGAAACAAGTGTCACTGCTGCTGTCACCCATTTGAACCAGACAAGGATGGTCAGAAATGTGTTTTGCAAAAGCACTGTGAATATGTTCAATGAGTTCAAGCCCCATACGCTTCCGCCTGCCCTGCATTGCTGTTTTGTCTAACGTTATATGAGGATTCTTTTGATGCTATTATTACTTCTTTGTCTACTTGTTATTAGCTCATAAAAATTCGCATGTTTTTTCAGTACATTTAGTGTGTGCATCAAGCTTTGAAACAAAGCCCAGCGTTAAATGTACTTTTTGCTTTTAACGTTTGTGGTATACCCTGCCTTGATCAAAAGAACGAGTATGTACAACTAGCGATGAAATTTTGTTTGCCTGTGTATTTAATGTTTTTAGCGAGGCTGTGCAAGCAATTACGCTTCCATTTCGTTTGTCCTTCTTTTTCTTCAGTCTTTTCCATAACCCATTCTTCGTTCAACAGTCGCAAGAGCCGTATCTACTAACGTGTAGAATCACACCGCAGGACGAAGCGCCGTGAACAGTGAATATTCTTCGGGCACTGCTGTTACCGTAAAGATCTGTCAGCCATCTTGAAATGCACAGCTAACGAAGCAGTCGCAGCCGATTCGTAGAAATAATCGTCTTTTAAGGACCTGAGGGAAGGACGCACTGGTTATAAACATAGATGGAACGATTGGCATCACTGTGTGCAATTTCTTCATCGTACCGTGTCCACTGAATAAAGGATGACTACCCGTAGTGAGAACGAGCGATGAATGACGGTGATACACGGAAATGACTTCCTTCCGCCACTCGAACTGCTAAGAACCGGGTGACACTACGTAACAATTCACTCTAATGCTCAAGCTCGCATGATCATTTTGCCATAACATTGTCAAGTGGGCTTATATTTATCATTCTTTTTCTACCAGCGATTTGCAAACACGTAATAATTATCTTCGAGACCGTTCTCAGAGAAAGATGGATGGTCTCTTACGCTTGTTTTCGTATTTAATCAGGAACAAAGCAATTGTTCAAAATGCCATGACGTCGAGATTGGGGGTTGTTGTGCGCTCTCTAGAAATTATCATGAAATAAATGATGCAGTGCTTGCACTGATGATGGCCAATGTAATTTGCCAGAAACGCCAGCACATAAAATAAAGACGCCCACGTGTTAGATCCGTGTAGCTGTAATCATTGAAACGGCAATATATTGAAGAATAAGACACCGAATTTAAATCACTTTCAGAGGTCTTTAAATGAATTAATTTTATGTTTCCTCAAAGGCTAAAAATAGTATGAAACAGTTTTAATCAGTCAGTTAATTTTGACGACTGATTATCCTTTCGGGTCGTGAAGACAGACACGTCAAAGAGTGCTTCTAACGTTAAATATTTTGTGCCAGCGTTTCAGCTTTGGCAGAAGATAACTCAAGTCTGGAGTAGAGTGCTTCAATGAATTTGCCCCAAGCTATTCTTGTCCGTCCTCGGGGTCTTAGGACAATCGATTGGGAAATTGCAACTGTATTGCCTTCCCTCCTGAAAACATTCATAGCATGTGTCCGAACGATCGTAGTTGTGAATTCTCAATCTGGACCCGTAAAGGACGCGTCAACGAAGTCATTCCTTTCGAAAAGCCCATTTCAGGCGCATTTACTCCGGAACGAAGTTTTTCAGTTATTGGCCATAACTCGTGACATAAGTGAGCACGGGGCTTGGATACAGACAGCTTGGTGTTCAGAAGCTCGGCTCTGTCTTAGTCCAACGGTTCGAGCAAGTTCATCCAGGTAGCCACTGGCCATTTCAATTCGTCGGTAGACCCCTCCCTCCTATTTCGCATCACCAGTAACGCGACCCCCCGATCCCGATGAGCGTGAATTTCTCCATCCGTTCTACCGCATTTTCGTGATGAATCGAGCAAAACGACGAAAAACACTAGGTTTTTCGCTTGATCCATGTTTATACGTATGGCGACCATATCACACTCGGTTGCCAACCTTCCCAGACAACGCTGGGAATCAGTTTCGAAAGTTTCCACCAAAATAAGGTCATTTGCAAAGAGCAAACTTCTTCTCATTTTTTCCTGTCTGGCATTCGACTTAGTCTAGATTCATTCTGTACTCAATTTCTTGACGAAGTAGAGAGTAAAGAAATGATAGAGGGAACTCATAGTCGTCATTTACAAAAATGCGGATACAGGTGTAAAGCTTCCAAAAGGCACAAGGAAGTTCAGAATTGAAAAGAGCGTTGTAGAAGGGGATACAGTATGACAAAAGTTATTCTTCAGCCCTAGAGAAGGTTTTCAATATACTCCCTTAGGGAAAATCCAGCTGATCATAAACGGGCATTCCCTAGGCCATCTGCGATTTGTGGACAATATTATGATCTTCTCAAGGTCACCATGAGAACCCCAAAGAAATGCCAGCATCAAAGTAGGACTGAAAATGAACGTGAAGAAATCTCAAGCGTAATC